AATGCAAAAACAAAAAGTTTATGCGGCTAGGGACCCAACGGTGTGTCTCAACTGACGTGAAAGCACAAGGTTCAGTGCCGAAGCTAAAAATATCAGTATGGACCGAAACGTCAATATCTCGAGAGCCTTTTTGTGCCTTACAAATGTTTCAATGACAATACAAAACATATGTGTAGACTTATATATTGAAGATAGCAAAACGATGGCGCGTTTCGGGGTACAACTAATGCCATCTAGCGGTGGCGCGATGTAACTAATTGCGTTTTAAGTTGTGGTCGTTACATGTAAAATTTTGTAACTCTTCTAATTAAATATAAAAACGTTATCGACTAATTACGTTTGCAGATTATTTGAACGTCTCTTGAAAAGTTGTTATTTTGCAGATGTGCTCTATCACACTAAAGGACTATCCACACATATCCGGGCCGTGGCCGGGACGTGGACGGGCCGTGCTAGCTTGTATGAACTGTGGGTCCGTCCCCGCCCCGGCCCGGACACGGACATGTGTGAACGAGTTCAAACAAAATATACACAACGATATTTTTTTGAGCCCCTGACGGAGCACGGCCCGTCCACGTCCCGGCCACGGCCCGGGCACGGCCCGGATATGTGTGGATAAGGTGCGAATTGTAAAAACTATTTTCATAAATGACAGTTGACTTTGAAATGGAGTCTACTACATACTCTTACAGACAAATTTCATTTTAATTAGGTATTACGTAATGACGGTTTTTTGTTTCTTTTTTTGTGTAATTACGGTTTTGTCACAGTTCGTGTTTTGCAACACATGTTATCGACCTTTATTTTCAAATTTACTTTAGACGATAAAGGTTAATCTCCATGAAGGTTTGATATCCAGAACGAAACATTCAAAACTGTTTATTCAATTAAATCATCCAATGAAGGTAACGCTACACATATGAAGAGATCTGTGTCCCACAAAAACGATGTACATTTTTTTTATTTATATATTTATATATACATAGTGGTGGTCATACAATTAAGAACGATTAATGACACAAAGCCATTATTATTTTGCAATAACCATTGAGTGTAGAATTAGTTTATATGCTCTGATGGTGTTAAATAATATTATCTGCATTGACCTATTTAGCGTTATTATTTAGCGTAATTGTTGAAATAATGGTACCTATAGGTATATATTTTTTATTTATTAAATAACAATCACTTCCTTACTTCCCGGAACACTGGCTGGACTAATAATTAAGAACTAAAATATAATTTTCTTTTGTGCTATTTTGAAAATGGACTGCGATCATTGCGGCGTTGTTGGTTTAAGAACGTTTTATGCAATTATTTATAGAAAATAATGGGAAAAAGTAAATCTTGTGACTCTGCTACAAGAGAAGATACAATAAAGCTGCGAGGTCGTAAGTGGTCATATCAGAAAATTATTTGCATTGCTCAAAAACTTTATTAAATTAGAGTTTAAATAAATTTAAAATTATTCTAATTACAACAGTATTTTTAAATATTATTTATTTAATTTTAGATTTTGTTAGCCCTGAATGTGTACTAGCTAGCACTATAGTCAATATTTTCCAGTAGGTAAGGGTTATTATGTTTATTACGAACATTTCGACTCATCCGTAGAACAAAGATCTATGTGCAAGACTACTTGTTCTCTGGACATAGTACATTTCGTTCGTTCTTCTTCGCTATGGATGTCAGATCGACAGTTGTTCGATTTTATATTTCCGAAACGAAATAAGATTATATAAAATCTCAAAACACCTTTACATAGGCCTTAGTTTGACTAACGAAATTATTCTCGTAACGTACTTATTCTCTTTTCGCTATTTAATCGCATCGGACTCTGTTTTGTCGATTTGTATATCAAAATGGTGCCGTATTCTTACGCTTCATAGCGTTCTTAATTCTATGACCACCACTGTGTGTTAAATAGTAGGCCGAGAAGGGAAGAATCCGAGACCACAACGGAAATATTTGATATTTGAATTGGATCAAGTTCAATTCTACTAAAACATAGGTGTATTTATTTAGCGCTAAACGTAGTAATTTCTGACTCTCTTTAACAATCGAAAGTGTATTTATTCCAATTACTAACCACCTTGAGCTTCTCGGTAGGTACGAATATTTAGAAACGTTGAAATTTTTAACTCTAAGAGCGTACGAGTTGAACACGGCGTATTTGGTACGCGCCGATGACGCGCGTTTTACGAACGCGCGTAAACGCGCCGCAGACGCGCTTTAGTGAATCGATTTAAACGCGCGCAAACATCGCGTTGCAAGCAAGAAGCTTATATACTACGAGACCTGTACCCCACCTACGGTGGGATCGGGCTCGGCCTGCGGCCCGTGGTGGACTTCATATTACGCGGAGTGCTTATGCTCTTCGGTAGTATTGAATACCGTTTATACTACCATGATATTCTATAGTCTATGATATAACTCGGTTTGTAGCTCAATTTGTAAAAGCAATAGCCACGGTAAGGCAACAACCGCTGGTTCGAATTCACTCAGATCGAAGGAATTTTTCTTAGTGTTTGTTCAATCTTTGTATCAATAATAATCATTGTACTCTATTATGTATCTATGAAAATATTTTATCGTCTATCGTTAGCGTATTTAGCGTAGCGACTGCCTCCGTGGCCGAACGGTTACCATGCCGGACTGCCACGCAGAGGTCTCAGGTTCGATTCCCGGGCCGGGAGAAATATTTATATGGCCTACATTTATTTCTCTCGTGAGTTTGGGTGTAATTTGTGGTTGTCTATGTGTGTGTCCATAGCACCCGCGACACAGGGTTTCCCTAGTGCGGGGCTATGTTGAGTGTGTGCGTTATTATTATTATTATTATTATTATTTAATTTTTTTCTGTAAATATGCTATTTACCTTTAAACGAATAAAAGTTTATAAGTTTATTTTATATTTATTTATCTTTTTCACAATAAATTTGTAAAACTTCTTGTAGTCGATTTTGCACATTAAGTGCAAATTTGTGGAAAATTATGCTCTTTTACTTTTTATAATAAGTATTTTTGATTATGGCATTTAAAATTTGGTTTACGTTCGATTGAGTATTTATTTTTTACGATACTCATCGATGGGACACCTATCCATAACATTTGCAGCCCCGTCACTCTGCGACAGAAGTTGACAAGTCCCATAAGCCTTCAATTTTACCAGCACACTTACCCTTCAAAACTGGAAAGCAGTAATGCTCACATTATTAGTGGGCGGTCGAAATCGGTAAGATGGCAGTACTTCTCTGTACGAACTCTTTCACACGGAGCTCTTCTGCGACGAAATTGTTATATTATGTACCTATATATTCAAGCATTCAAACAATGCTTCAAAAACTCTATTTTACTTGAACGCAATATATACAAAATATCGTTAAGTTTTTATGTAATTTTCAAGTTACCTAAAGTATATCCGGAAATAAAAGTTTGAACTCTATGAAGATATTAAATTATTCAAATTTATACACTTTCATTTACAAAAATTATAGGAACATTTGTTTGTTAGTGTCAATAACCATTGTAGTAATAAATTAATAATTGTATGATTGTTCTAATGTTTAATAAACAATCAAAATAACTACACACAACAACGCTGTAAATACTTCGGTAATGTAGGTACTATAATAACCCATCACAACGCAATAAAATTCCTTAACGGTACTTAATTCTTGCTTGTATACTGTACTCCTGTATTCCATATAATTACTGGGAAGGTCGGGCAAGAAGTGACCATCAATCAATTAAAATCCACGTAAATAAAAAAAATAAATTTAATGAACGAATTGAACACAACGGAACACAGCCTCTTTGGCTATTATAATTATTATAAATAACAAAAGAAATGACCAACATTTCTAAGCAACATCACTTTTTCACGTGGTCGGTAAAAGTGTACACTAACCAGCCAAAAAGAGTACGACATAGGTACCTAATATGAATTACATCCCAATTAGAGTGTCTGATTTCTTGAAATTTTTTTTGCTCCTGAATTCACGTACCCGATTTCTAGTATTCCTCGTGTTCGAGAAATTTTTAAAAACCTTTATAAAATCAGTATAAACATTTGTAAATATATCTCAATAAAAACACATTTTACATGAACATTTCTGAATGGTTTTGATTTTGGATCTTTTGATTGATGCCCCGGAGTGAATTCAACGACTCTTAGTACCGAAATCGATTCCCGTTAGGACCAATTGGCAAATTAACTTTTGTAAATTGGTTCTGTTCTGGGTTTGCAGGGTCTGGGGTTGGCTTTTCATTTTAAGACAACCGCTGTCTGCCTTTCAAACAGATATATCTTATTATTGACAATCTAAGTAACCCCTTGTATTGCCTGTGGCGACACAAGCTGCCCACGGCTGGAGTTGTCTTTACTCTTTTACAAGAAAAGTAAATACTTATTAGAGAATATGTATACCAAGAAGTTCTCTTAATTTTTCTTTTGTAATTAAACACTATCCATAATAAACAGATTAAATTAAAGCCATAAAAAATAACAAGAAATTGTTAACAAATTCAATATTTTGTTAGGGCACTCTTATCAAATAGCATACATACCAAACATTATCATGGTATGCAATAATGTACAGTAAACTTTACATAAACCTTATAAACACAACTCACTCGCCTGTGTTTTAATAATAATCATTTATTTCAGACAATTTGGGCCATATTTGTTAATAGCAATAACCTGGTGAAAACATTTTGTAAATCAAAGATAAAAGAAAAGCTTAATTTAAAAAATTAAAAAATTGAAATTGAAATAATGGATAACAAATAAGAAAAAAATAAAAAATTCCGTATTGTAAATGAAAAGTCAGAGTATTAAATTTCAAATAAAAATAAACATAACTACAATTCACCAACTTGATAAAGCGGCATGCACTGGCATGCACTTGCATATCATAGGCGAGCCCAGGCAAAGATAATGCACTCAGGATTCCGTTGGTGCTGGTCCGGAGGCGAAATAGTAAAGAAACACTTCGTTTGCGTATCACAGCGTAGAAATCATCAATGTGAGCGTCCTTTAAATTATTTTATTTTTTTTGGCGCAGAAACTTATAGAGGTTTCTATGTAGGTAGGTCTCGGTTAACCCCCCTGCCGCACCCCGTGGTGTACTGATTTGCCTGCGGTAAGAGTGCGCAAGCACTACTCGTAATCATGGTGTCTTGCTTTTGCTATAATACAGGGTAGATTAAAATATCATTTTTACCTACCATAACCTTTATGCCCGACCGTCTCTTAATACGATGGAACTGAAACCTACAACACAAATTGACGAAAACTTTATTGAAATGTCTTTTCCGCCATTAACATAGTGTACAAATTCGCAATTTATAAAAGTGACAGTAACCTGAGAACCCTTGGTCATAATATCGAGACTGTGTCCAAATCACTTCCGTGGGGTGCTTCGGTGATAATTTTCAGGTTAGTTTTCTCCATGTAATTTCGGTGGCATTATTATTTAAATATGTACAATAACATACACGAATACTTAAATAACAAAAATTGCCACCGAAATTATGTAGAGAAATCTAACATGATAACTATCTTTAATTCATTTTTGTGGTAATATGTCAATTTAGCATGTCATTAATATAGGATGTTACATCAAATTTCATGACAATAAATGCATAATCTCAGTATTCTCAGTACAGGGTACTTAAAAAAACCGACATCAAAAGTTCGTGGAATTATATCTAATTCATTGTTATTGCCAAGTTTCATTGAAATTGGTTACCGGAAAGTATGCGAAACAGGAGTCATCTCCTAGTTTGCCACATTTAGAGGTGGAATATTTCCTTCAAATTTAAATGGGACCACTAATGAGGTACCCTCTTTCCAACAAAAAAGAATAATCAAAATCGGTTCCCAAATGCGTGAGTTATCGCATAACATAATTACAAAAAAAATACAGGCGAATTGAGAACCTCGTCCTTTTTTGAAGTTGGTTAATAAACGAACGAACAGAAAGGTTGACCGGAAGACAGTCAGACAAGAATAAATCAAAATGGTTCGTAGTTTGACTACGGAATCCTAAAAAAGGCTATTACGAAGCAGTCGTAAATGGTATCTTCGCTAACACTTAGCAATGTTAAAGCAAGTAACGTTATCTATTCAATAATTACTGTTACAGTACCTATAACATTACCTCCGTGACGTTGTGTTTATGATAACCATGCCAAATTACAGAAAGTAATGGTTCATGAGATTATCTGTGCAACTACGTCATCTTACGCACCGCGGTTACGATGATGCGAGAACCAAAATCTAGCCCGTACAAACACAAAAGGTAAGTCCCGTAAGTCCTATACTAGAACTACTCAATCTAAGTACGTTCCTAACCTTTACTGAAATAATAATGTTTGTCCCTATGTTCGTAAATGTGTAAACATCCTTAAAACATAACTTTTTCAATAAT